TGGGATTTTCAGTTGCCTCATGTGCATAAGAAAATTTGGTATTGAATAAAGAAGACTAAAGAAGAATCGATGCATTCAAATTGTAATGCTGACAAGGAATACTGAAAGTCTATGGTCTGTTAGAGAACAAACAGGTCTCTCTTGGAAGAAGTAGAAGAAAATACTCCTTAGAAGCAAGAATGAGGAGATTTTGACTCATGTTGTTAAGAGAGGCTAGTCCCTGGAAAAGGACATTATTTTTGGTAGAGGGGCAGAAGAACGGAAGAAGACCCTCCACAAGATGGATGGACAGTGCCTACAATAATGGGCTAGAACAGAACAATAATTGTGTAGATAGAAAAGGAGCAGGCAGCATTTTATTCTGTATATAGAGTCACTACGAATTGGAACTGACAAGTGCTAGTGAAGTTCTGGAAAGTAAAGAAATTTTTATGTGGAAGATTCTGACAGGGTCTTACAGAAGAGGTGACTGACAACTGATCTTTAGTCTTTAGTACAAATAAAAATATGTACATTGTATAGAATCTAGAAAAAATGTGGGATTCTAATTGAAATAGGTTTTCAAATAGTTGTAATGTTCTCTGGCCCTTATATACCCTTCAAGTCTGGAATTGAACTCATACCCAGGGACCAACTTTCAGCCTAACAATTATTCACTAAAAAGTGGATACTAATACCAGACATAACATATACCATATATACTTGAGTATAAGTTGACCCGAGTAACAGCTGAGGCACCTAATTTTACCATGAAAACTGAATCAAAAGCATGCTGAAAACTCGGCGTATCCACAAGTATCTACAGTTGCTATTGCAGATTGACTTCTTTTGCTAGTGTTCTTTCACGTGCTATTGAATTGGTTCCAACTCACAGTGTCTTTGTGTATTGCAGTATGCCGTGTTGCCCAATCTTGTGCTATAATTGCTGTACACAAAGTCACTATGCTTGAGTCTGTTGTTGCAGTCACTTTATTAATCCACCTCATTGAAGGTCTTCATCTATTTCACTGCCCCTTTACTTTACCAATCCATGATGTACCTCTCCTGGTTACTTCTGATAGCATGTCCGAAGTATGTGACATAAAATCTCACCATCCTTACTTCTAAGAAGCATTCTGACTGTACTTCTTCCAAAGCATATTTAACATTCCTCCTCAGCACCATAAGTCCAATGAATCAATTCTCACTACTATCAAGACTGAAAAGCCAGGGCTGCAGCACACCCTTTGGACCCTAAGATCCCTGGGCATTGAGTCTTTTTTATTGTAGAAATATAATTCTCATCTTCAATGTTTCATGATCTATGAATGATTTAAAATGTTTTAAAGATACTGAGTGTTAATGAAAGTTGTTAATAAGCTTTCTTCCAATATTGGTGTCGGACTCTTCTTGGTGAAAGAGAATAGGATTTAAAACAGAGGCACCAAAGGAGTGGCCGAGGAGGGCTGAAGAGAACCAAGAGTTAAAACCCAAGACTAAATGGTGGGGTTTCCTGGCCCACAGAATGAGTAAAGCTGAATGTCTTTGTTAAGGAAGCTTGCCTGTGAAGCGGAGTGTAGAGTTGAGTGTCTTTGGGCTGAGGTTGATGATGGACGGCCTATCATGCCTTTGGTCATTTATCACCAGCACTAAGAAAGCTCTGTAACATTGCCCAAGCAGGTGAGCAGCGGAGTAAGGCAGAGGTCAGGAACCTTGTTTGTCTTCGGTGTTTCTTGTTGTTGTTAGATACCACAGAGTCAGTTCTGACTCATGGTGAGGCTATGTACAACAGAAGGAAACACTGCCCTGTCATCCTCACAATTGTTGTGTGAGCTCATTGCCGCAGCTCATTGAGGATCTTCCTTTTTTCATGACTCTCTGCTTTAGCAAGCAGGACATCCTTTTCCAGGGACTGGACTCTCCTGAGAGCATCTTCAAAGTACATGAGATGTGGCCTCACCATCCCCACTTCTAGGGAGCATTTTGCATGTTTTTCCTTTCCGTAGATGTGTGCAAGGTCCTGATCCAGCTGATCTTCCTGGGTGTTTCTCTGGCATTCTCTAATTCAGTTGCTTTATACTTCAGTTCTAGGAATTCATTCTCTCTCTCTTTTTCTTATATGTCATTCCTTAAATTGAATTTCTCCATTTATCTTTTGGTCTCAGTTTGTTTCCTGTGTGCCTTTTATTTAAAACAACTAGCATCATTGTCCATCGGTGTTCTTTTAAAAAATGGTTCCGGTCTCCATAATAGAAATTTCTTCTAAATACTTTCCTTGTGCTTGTTCTTTCTTCTCTTACATTATGTTTTACAATTTTTGTTAAACTCGGGACCTTGATATCTTCAAACCATATTTTAAATTCTAAATTTTATGATTTTTTAGATGATTTTATTCATGAGACTTAATTCTGCTATCTTGTCTTGTTTCTGGTGTTGTAGATTATATGTTGGGCTGTTAACTGCAAAGTCATTCATTCAAAGCTAAAAGGTCCTCCATGGAAGAATAAATGAGGCTTTGTGCTTCTGTAAAGGTTTAGAGCCTTGGAAACAAAAACTTGAGCAGCTCTACTCTGTCCGTATAGGGTCACTATCAGTCACACATCTGGCTTGACTGGTTTATGTGACTTCTCAGTATGCCCAGGTCCTAGAACCCTTTTGCTTTAAATGTTAGCAAGAATCAACAGCACTTCCTGAACTCTGGTTTTTTTCATTCTCTTCAGAGTGCACAGCCCACAAATTCCCACAACCAATCTGTGCTGCTTTAAAATGTGAAGTTTCTCCATATTTCTTTCCACCTATATAGTCTATTTGAGCCATAGAGGCAGTCTATTTGAGGCATAGATGTATGGATCAAATAAATCTACTGTTTTTTACTCCATTCAGTGAGGTCCACACGATGTATAGTAACAATTCATATTGTTGAAGAACGGTTATTTGCAATGAATAGTTTGTTTGTCTGGTACAATTCTATTGTGATATTGCTAGTATTGTCTATATCACCATGACCGTGTTTTACAACTACTGATTTTTCATTGTTTATGATTTTCTAATTGTAATCATCAATAATTATCCATGTATGCTTATCAATTTCAAACTGCCAAAATTAGGTAAAATCTTCAACTTCTTCATCTTTGGCATTAGTGGCTGATGTGTACGTTTGAATAATAGTTATACTAATTGATATTTGGGGCCATTTGTGTCCACTTGGCCATTTGGATATTTTTGTCTGTCAGTTGGTCTTATTGTGGTGCTGTGTGTGTTGCTGTGGTACTGGAAACTGTGCCACCAGTTTGACAAACAAGCAGGTCACCCATCGTGGACAGGCTTCAGCGGGGCTTCCAGTCTAAGGCGGAGCAGGAAGAAGGACTTGGTGATCTAATTCCTAAACAAATAGTTAATTAAATAATAACAAAAACCAGCCATAAACAGTTTTGCGGAGAGAAAGGGGACCGTGTCTGATACAGTGCTTAAAGATAAGCCCCTAGGGTCGGAAGGCATGCAAAAGATAACTCGGAGTGTCACCCTTTATGATGTGGATGAAATAAAGCTTTAAGGGTCTTTGCTAATGTGGCTCCATTAAAAATGAAAGAAAACATTGCAGACAAGTATTAATAATTGAAGCATGATCTACATGAAGTATGAATCAAGGAGAATTGGAAGTTGTAAAGACTAAAATGGAATATTGAAGATCAATCTCCTAGGTATTGCTGAACTAAAGGTCAGTGTTGGCATTTTGATTCATCCAGTCATATGATCTACCAGGTTGAGAATGGTAAATTGAAGATGAATGGTATAACAATGACAACCATAAAGAACATATCAAACTCTATCCTGAAGTACAATGCTGTCGGTGTTAGAAAAATACCAATACAAGAGAGAAGAGAATAATATAGCCATAAGGAAGCCAGGCTCCATACAATATACTCATTATATATATGACTCCAGTGCAGGGCTGGATAATTTATTTGGTTTCACATGATGAAAGAGTTATTGGGTGGAGAAATCCTTGTTGGTACTGTGTAAGAGGTAAGGGTGTTCAATTTGCCTTTGGTGAGTAAGCAGAGGGTTCCAGTTATGAAAGTGCCTGTATAACACTGTTAGGCATGGTTACCTTGGTGTGTTTCTCAGTCAAAGACCAGAAATTAAGAACGTATAAGCTCTCAGAAAATTTGCATTTCTCCAAATAGGCTCCTGCATGCTAGAGAGGCTAATCACCCAGTCCTCTCTCATACCTTGAGGATTAAATCAGGTAGATATTTTGTCACTATACGTATAAACTGAAAAAAAGATAATAGCTCTTTAAAAATAGAAGAACAATAAGAAACAAAAAGAGGAGAAGAAAACTATAACTATATTTCTATAGATATAGACAGCCATGCTGATCATGTTGCTAGGTTCTATTGATTCAATTCTGTCTTAGGTCAGACTTATTGTTGTTGTTAGGGTGCTGTCCAATCAGGTCCTACTCAGAGCGACTATGCACAATGAAACAAAACACCGCCAACACTGTGCCATCCTCACAATTGTTCTTGTGTTTGGGTCCATTGTTGCAGCCACCATGTCAATCCATCTTGCCCAAAGTCGTTCTTCACTGTCCCTCCACTTTACAATGATGATGTCCTTCTCCAGGACTGGTCTTTCCTGGAAACATGTCCAAAGTATGTGAGATCTCGCCACTCTTGCCTTTAAGGAGCATTCTGCCTGTCCTTCTTCCAAGATGGAGTTTTTGTTCTTTTGTCAGTCCATGGTAATTTCAATATTCTTCACCAGCACTATAATTCAAATAGCATTCATTTTTACTCAGTTTTCTTTCTTTTTTTTTTTTTTTACTCAGTTTTCCTTATTCTGCTTTTCATGCGGTTTTCATTGTCTCACAAGGTTCCATTGCTATCTCTAAGTTTTTCAGTGGCTAATTCCTCTGAAGAGGACGTCTTATTCCTTCTAGTCTGTTCTTAGTCTGGAAGTTCTGCTGAAACCTGTTCACTTTAGGTGACCCTGCTGGTATTTGAAATCTCGGTGACATTCTTCCCTGGTAGGGGAGATCCCATGATCATGAAAGTGGTTTTCCCAGGGCGAGGCTCACCCATTACACTCCAGGCGTGCTGACCCCTGTGATGTCCCCGAATGTGGGAATCTCGACTGCATCATTTGTGGTAGTAGGAGACTGCGTTCGCGCTCTCCCCTGCTTATAAATAAATAAATAAATAGTGGTGACATAGCTTCCAGCAAGATTACAACGTACAAGGCACCACCGTGTGACAAACTGACAGACAAGAGGGCATCCCACCCATGTTATTGTAATTAGGTCCTATCAAGTGGGTTCTGACTTATCGTGACCTTACTAGGTACAACAGAATGAAACACTGCCAGGTTAGGCTGCCTGGCCCAGTGCCATCCTCACCACTGTCACTCGGTTTGAGCCCAGCGTGGCTGCCACTCTAGCATCCCATCTTTTCAGTGTCTTCCTCTCTTTCACTGGCTTTCTACTGATCCAACAGGATGGCTTGCTCTAGGGACTGGTGCCTACCTCCTGATAATATGACCAAGGCATAGGAGCGAAAACCTTGCCATCCTCATTTCTGAGACGCATTCTGACTCTACTTCTCCCAAGACAGATGTGTCAGCTTTTGGGACAGTTGATTATATATTTACTCTTATTCAATGACGCTATAATTCAAAGGTGTCAATTCTTTTTGTGTCTTCTTTATCCACTGAACAGCTTTTAGGCGAGGCGATTGAAATCACCATGGTTTTGCCACATCATTCCAAACTACTGGGTCACGGGCATCATGTTTACAAGTTAAGAAAGTCTGTATAATCATGTTTCCGATGATTGTGAGCTAAGGCTCTCTCTTCTTAAGTAGTAGCATGCCTGGACATTTTTTTAAAATAGGGAGAAATCCTAATGAAGAGGTCCCTTTTCCTTCTGAGAGTTGGGGGTGGAGGAAGGCGGGGGGGGGGGGGCGGGCGCAGTGCCCTCAAGTTCCATTCCAAATCAAAGATGTTCAACCTCCCGTAGAATAGGGAGGTTAGATTCTGCACCACACTGAGTGGCTTCTTCAGCTTTCTCATCAGTGTCCCCTACGGAGTACTCTTTGCCTACGAGATTTTGGCAGAATTCCCCACCCTCGGATAGTGGAATGTAGCCAATCTCCTTACTTGGAATTTAGCTTGCAGGAAGCCCATGTGGCTGTTGGATTAGTGCTGACTGAAGTGGAGGGATTCTAAGCAGTTTGGATCGTAAAACTTCCTGTCGATATCATTAAGTAATTATTTGGGATGCTTGAAGCAAATAATCATATTATTTGTTGAGGAATAAAATAATCATTACCAAAGATCTGATTGTGCTTGTTTATTATATTTTATTTTTAAATTTTTTTGATATGTATTACTTTGAATAAGAGAAGTTTTATCGGCAAAAGTGTTTGGCACACCATACGTTTAATGTCCCCCAAACTCAGAATCTGAGTACAGGAGTACTTTCTCCACACCTTGGAGCAGTCTCATCTTGATCCAACAGCCAGTGTGGTGGGCGGCATTTGGGAATTCAATTAAAGATCATCTGCTCAAAGAGCTTGGTGGTCCTCTGGTAGCACTCCCAATTCAACCTTAGGCTTGCAACGTAAATGACCATCATGATACAGCTTGGCTCAGTAAAGTGAAGGGCAGCCTCAAATGAGGAAGACCCCTGAGTGCATGGATTCCACAGTGGTTGAAACAATAAGTTCAAAAGTTACTACAATTGTGAGGATAGGGCAGGGCCAGGTATTGTTCAGTTCTGTTACGTGTAAGGTCATTACGAAGTGGAACCAACTTGATGGCAATTGACAATAACAACAAAGAGCTATTTCTGAAGAAATTTTGGAATGATCATCAAAAGAATACACTCTATGTATGAATCACTGATACTAGGGTAACTTAAAATAAGTTAGCCAATGAAATAGCTTGCGCATATGTACACAGAGAGAGTTAATATAATCATGCAAGTAAAAGGTATGTTAGGAAAATTAAATTGAAATTGCAGAACTCTTACACATTAGGTAACATATTAGTAAACCACATCCTGTCACCAGACAAAAGCATAGGAGACAATGCCGAGAGAAACAAACAGAAGAACAAATACTAAAGGATAACAGGCATTACGTTGAATTTGAAAGTAAACAAAACATTAAAATCGCTATACTGAGATTAGTTTGCATAAAGGGTTTAAATAGTAAGCACAATGGTCTACTTGCAAAAAGAAATACAAGAAAAAAAGAATTAAAAAAATTACGCTCCATAATATGAGTAGGCATCATCCTTCAGTTGTAAGATTTGTGAAGCAAAAATAAAAAGGGTGATTTCTTGAGGGAGAAGGGTTCTATCTCAAAATGGTAAATAGACATTTTGGCAGAATTTGCAACCTGACATTTGACCTACTGATTTCAGACACAAGACTTTTAAATTTTCCAATCTGTTTTCTGACCTACATGATTTTGATTGCCAGTCCCGACCACAAAGTGAACCAATTCTTTAGAAAAAAACACTGTCTCTCCCTTTCTCTCTCTCTGCCCTCCCTCTCCAGTGAAAGAGTAATTGAAGTACAATAGTGATACAAAAAAAATAGTTATAATCTACTTACTTCATATACAGTTCATTTGGTAAAATAAAACGGTTTTGTCTCATAAAAATAATGTGGTAGTACAATAAGTTGGTTCTTCACTATCATAACCTCTGTATTATTGCTGCTGCAGCAGACAAAATGGTTTTCTTACAGTTCTGTAGGTCAGAAATCCTGGGAACTACAACTTTTTAAAGAGAAGATGAACAAAAATCTGATTAGGGCACTCCACTGTTTGGCTACTAACCATAGAGTAAGCAGTCCAAAGCCAAGAACTGTTCCATTGGACAAGGGTGAGATTCTCTGCTCCCGTAACAGTTTACAGCCTTGGGAAACGACAAGAGCCATTGGTCTCTGCCCTAGAGGGTCACTATGAGTTGGAATCGTGTCGTGACAGTGATTTGAGTTTATTGTTCATATAGTTGTGTTTTCTATGTTGTTACCATCAGAAGTAAAAGAGGATTCTAGTAGATAGCTTGCTATATAAGTAATGATCTTTTATCCGATTAGTAGGTGATCTGTTATAATCAAGCTCTAATTTATCAACCCATTCACTCATAAGCTCCCTTTATTGAGTTTGTGCTTGCCTAGAGTTATTTTTATATTATCTGAAACTTGTTTATGACAGTTTTAATAGTAGACAATTTAAATGTTTAGTAAACCAATGACATTTGAAGAGGGGGGTAGATAATTTCTTAGAAAATCAAATGCATTTCTTTGTAAATACCAGGTAAAGGTTGATTGATTAAAGGAAAGTTTGCTGAAAGCTATGTATGAATAAGACAATTGATAAAGACTTAAATACATTTATAAAAATCTAAATGTATTATGCATCAAGACTGCTTTTTGTAATCTCACTTATTTTTCCCCATAGATTAAGCTAGAAATGACAGATAATTTATAATGAATGACTCATGCAGGTAATACAGCATAAAACCTCATCTTTTAAGTCATCTTGAAAAAAGTACATTAGACTGTTATTAAAAGTCAATGAGAATGTATACATTAATAATCCATAAATCAAAATAAGATATTTACATTGCCACCAGCAATCTGTAAATATTTTTATTTCTCTATATCCAGGTCAACACTTGTTATTTTCCAAGTTTTTTAAATTATAGTCATAGTAGTCAACCTATTGGTTTGTTGTGTCCTATGTGTGGTGGCTTGTGTGGAAAGTGTGCCACCAATATTTCAAATAATATCAGGGTCACCCATTGTAAACAAGTCCACTGAAGCTCCTAGGGCCTAGACTAATACAGACTCAGAAGAAAGTCCTGGCAATCTTATTTCCAAAACTTAACCAATGAAAATCTTACAGGTCACAGTAGAACATTTATTGAACTCACTTACTTGAAGATACCATAAAGAGTAATCAGTCTCTGGAGAAGGACATCATTTTTGGTAAAGGGCCAGTGAGGGAGAAGTAGACACTCCACAATATGGGTTGGAACTGTAGCTAGAGAAATGGAATTGAACATGGGTGTATTTGTGAGAATGAACTAGAGCCAAATAAGATTTTGTTCTGTTATACTTAAGATCATCATGAGTTGACATTATTCCCATAGGAGCTATCGATCTAGCTGTCTCTAGGGAGGAGGTGCGAGATGGCATCTTGTGCTCCTCCTTCCTCGTACTAGTATCCGTGTCATTGCTTCAGTGTCAGTATGCCATTTCAGTGCATGTCACTAAGAGTAAGACCTACGGCCCTATGTGACTGGTTCCCTCTGTGGTCCCATTCTTTAATGCTCCTTTCCTCTTGCTGCTTGTCTCAACCCCAAACACAGTCCTCTGTCCCTTAGGCATCCGCATTTCCTGTTTCTTCTATGGAGATTATCCCCACCCTTCATAAATACCACCATATTTTCAAATGGTCAGTGTAATAGAACTAAGATCCTCAATGTTATTTTGTATCTGCTTGTTCTGCTTGAACAACGTCTTCATCTAAAATTTGTCGTCGGTTGTATTGAGTGCTGTGGACAGCAGAAGGAACACTGCTGGTAGCACATCCACCAGGATCACAACACTTTGCAAGCCACGAGAGCATGCCAAGCGGAGAGAGGAGTGGGGCTCATAGAGGAGAGCTAAAATATAGGAGAGTTAAATCCATTTCTCTGATACTTTGGATACCCATCTAAGTTTATAATGAAAGGACATTTGGCAGATTAGTTTGGCATAATGACATGAGTTTTCGCTTACTCAGCAATTAACAATTTTTAAAACTTTAAATTTGTAAATTTGTAGCAATATGAATGTTAACTCTTTTTGAGTTAAGCATGTCATTTGAAACCACTTTTGCTTCACATTGAAAAGAGGGATATGTGAGCTGACAAGGTAAACTACAGATCCTTTCCCATTCAGAGATCTCAAGGCAAGATGCCCACAAACATGCTTTTAAGTACGCGAATTTTATAAATGGAGCTGTTCACATAGCCCAAGCAAGTTGCCCTCAGTTTGTGTAACCCAATCCCCCTGGTAGGCTGTTCCCTGGAGATGGAACCTGTGGTCTGGTCTCTAAAAGGCCAGCTTTACTGTCTAGAAGGCCAAGTGGCGGTAAAGACCTACTGTGTGACAGAAACAGAACC